TGATGACAGTGGGCACCCTTGTCTTACCCATGTTTGGATTTTAAAGGCTTTGCTCAGAAGTCCATTTATTAGTACTTGGCTTTCTGTCTTTCTATATAACAGTCTTATCCATCCTATCAGTTTTTCCAGGAAACCAACAAGATCATGATCCACTCTATCATATACTTTCTCCAGGTTTAATTTGCTATTGCTGTATTTTATTTTCTCTCCTGAAAGTGTGCCAGCGTATCCCTTATCAGCCAAATCGAGTCAGAAATCCTCCTGTCTGGGACTGCACAGATTTGATCTTTATGGGTTATTTTTGCCAGGTTCTTTCATATTCTCAAAGTCACCACCTTTGCTAATAATTTGTAGTCTGTGTGTAGCAGGTTAATCAGGGTAATCAGTCTTCAGTGTTTCAGAAAATTTTCTTCCTGTTTCCTGAATAATAAACTTACTATTCCACTTGTAAAAAACTCCCCTGCCTCTCCTTTTCCACTATTTCTTAAAAAATCTTTACTCAACCCATTCCCACACATGGCCAGAATTCCTCATAAAATTCCATGGGTTGTCCATCTGCTCCTGGCAATTTTCCCTTTTTACAAGTTTTTAAGTACTCCTTTGCTTCCTTTAAACTTAACATTTCTCCATCTTCTGTATCTCCTCTTCCTCTACTTTTTCTTCAATGTCTTCCATAAATTTTTCCATTTTCTTTCTATTGCTTTCTTCTGGTATAGTTCTTCATAAAATCTCCTCATTGCTTCCAGCACCTCCTCCTGCTTTTCCACTCGGGCCCCACCTTCTATCTGTACTGCTTTTAGCAATCTTCTAATTTTCTTCACTCTGGCCAAAAATATTAGAACCATTCTTTGTTTTCTTCCACCCAAGGTGCTTGTGCTAAAAATACATTCTCTTTCATCCTACTGTTAAACCATCTTTCCAGCTCCTGCTTTGTCTCTTCCAGTTCCCCTTATGCCTGTCTTCCTTCTACAGCTCCCTTTAACAGCTTCTGCATCTTTTTTTGAAGCTCTCTTAGTTCTTTAGTTCTTCTCCCCATGTTACTTTGACCTACTTTCATGAAAAATTCTCTTGTCCTCTTCTTCACCATCATCTACTATTCTTTGGTACTCTTAAAATATATCTTCAATATTTTCCACCCCTCATACTGTTTCATGAATGCTTGACACACCTCTACATCTTGTAACACTTATATATTTAACTTCCATACCCCCTTTCCTCTTACCAAGACTCATTTCTGCCTTCAGCATCCAGTGATCATTAAATGCCATGCTTAAGATTTCTTTTTTTTTCTTATCTCTTTCATTGGATACAAATACGAAGTCAATTCTTGATTGCTTTTTTTCCATTTGGGTCTGCCCTAGTGAAGGCTTTCTCCCCTGCCCACATATCTATTAGTGACTCTTCTTTTATTATTTGTCTTAATCTAGATTAATTTCCCTCTGACTGCATATACAGCTAGTTTTCTGAGCAGATCCTTCCTCCCTCCTACTCTGGTGATGCTGCATAGACATTTAAAATTTCTATGTCTGCTCCCCTGACTGACAGTATCATTTGCTGTAGTCTGCCATTGATCATATCTTGCACCTGCTTGACTCTCAACTCTGGATTTTTGAAAAGTATTGCTATACCTGCTGCTTTGTTATCATTTGTCCCTGACCATTGAGACGGTCCGCAATTCCAACCTTTTTTGAAGTGTTTATAATCCCTTTCCCTTGATATACTGCAGTCTTGGGCCATGTCCACATGAGTATGGATGTTTGGTTCCCTGGGGACAACTAGCAGTGGTACACCTTGTGCTGTTGCTAGTTGTCCGCAGGGAATGCCTCTACCATGTGCGCTCTGGTGCATGGAGATTACCCCAGGTGGGGTAGGGGAGCACTGGGCTGGCCCCAGCAGTCTTACCTGGGGTACTGGGGGCCTCCTGGGGCTGTAGCAACAGTGATCCTGCCCTGCAGCCTGGCTGGCAGCCAGAGTGTAGCTCCAGCTGCCTAGGCTGTGGTTTTGAGTGGCATGTGCTGCCTTCATGTCCACTGCTTTGCTTTTTTTTTATGAAGGTACCCTTGCAGTGTGGAGAACAGCTAGATGTGTGGTATGTGGTGCTGCAGATGTGTCTGCAGCGCCACATACCACATGGCTGCACTCGTCTGGATGCGGCCTTTTAGGCAGCTTATGTCTGCCCTGACTTGTTTTAATATTGGTTCAATCTTTTTCCATTTTTTCCTTGTTAAGACATTCCTGACATTAATTGATGCTACTATCAGTGCTATTGTGCTTACTTTAGCTGAGTGCACTGGCCCAGTAAGGCACTTCTTTACTGCTGCTCACTGTAATTGACTCCATCTCCTCCCCGACCTGCATATCAATTGCTTTTGCAAGCTGCTTCATTGCTTTTGCATTCAGGAAACTTGTCCACTTTCCTGCCTTTCTGGCATTTCCTAACTTTCCAGGGTGTTAATGTTGGGAAGTTTCTCTCTGGCTCTGGCTTATTCCAGGTTTCTTTTTCCTGATTTTCTTCCACTGTATTTCCTTTCTTTTCCTAAATGGACCCCTGGGCTCTTTTTCCTGCTCCAGTTCCATTTCTTCTGTGTGTTTGTTCTCTACTTTTCCTCCCTCCCCCACCTCCATATTTGGGCTCTCTGCTGTTCCCCCCCCCTTCTTTTTTTCCTGTTTCCTCTTGTACCACTTCAATTACAGATATTTCACTCCCCTCCTTCTCTCTTTTCTCTCCTGCGAGGTCTCTTCTACAATTTGTACCTCACTGTCACCCTCCTTTTCTCCCCTGCTGTCCACCTCTGATTTACACTGTTCTTCAGGGGATCTGACCTTACTTGCATATGTGGCAGACTTGCTAGCGGCAGCCCAGTGTGCTGGCTTTGAAGAAGTTTAAAATGATTGGTGGAGTATTTCCTTTTCCCTCACCAATCAGGTGAAGGCAGGGGAGAGGCTTTTCCTGCCCCTATCCAGAAGCGAGGCAAAGAGCCAGACCTGAGAGAGGACTAAGCCCGCTCTCCCCAGTTGGTCTGTTTTCAATCTGGAGGTGGAGCCCCCGAAGAGAATAAAAAGGCAGCATGCTTGGCATGTGAGCGGCTGCGTCAAGGGACAGAGAAGAGTGCAGAGAACAGCTGGCAGAGCTGGCCAGCGGAGTGGAGCTGTTGACCCAGAAGAGCCCGAAGCCTTCTTGTTAGGCGTGGAGTGGTGAAGCAGCCGTGTCCCCAAGCCCCTCTGTGAGGGAGTGTGGCAAGTGGTGCATGGCCAGTGCATAGAGGGTCTGAGAGGGGCTGCAACCTTGGGAGCTGCATGAGGTGGCTCGGGTCTCCAACCCCTGGCATGAGGCCAGGCAATCGGTGCATGGAGGGTCTGAGAGGGACCGATACCCTAGGAGCTGCTTGAAGCAGCTTGGGTCTCTGACCCCCGGCATGAGGCCAGGAACATAGTGCACAGGTGGTACACAGAGGGTCTAGGAGTGGACTGAGAGCCCAGCGCCACACAAGACGGCTCGGGTCTCCAACCCCTGGCACAAGGCAGGACCACCAGTGCACGAAACCGCTGCACAGGGTCCCAGGGGGGCCAGAGGTTGGAGGAGCCCCAACACTGTGAAGGCCTCCTATGGAAGGAGGAGACAACTCGCCTCTGAGGATGGGTGCTACCTTGACAGGGCCCTAGAGTCGAGAGTTGCCTGGGAAGGGGATTTCCACAGGGGAGGAGGGTTTTCCCTGCCGGTTCTGTGGGGAAGCCCCACTTGGGAGAGCTCCTGGGCATCAAAAGCAGGCAGCTGGGTAATTCGAGCAGGGTTACAGAGGTCCACAGGGCATTGGGGTATCCTTTCCCTCTTATTTTCTTAGGGACCCAGCTATCACTCTGGGATATTCTTTGCTTTCTCAAAGACCTGTAACTTTTCATTTGTGAAACCTGCATCTAAGACTTTGTGAATCCTGTACTTTATATTTTGTGAGCTTGTGCCTCATGTTTTGTAATTTGGTATTCCAATAGAGTATAAGTTTGCATGCCTTAATGAGATGCTTGTTTAGACCCTTTGGATTCCTCTCCTGTTTACAGAGTTTGTATAGATATGTAAATATTCTGTCTATAGTTCTTGTAAGTCGTGTGTGTGTGTGTGTATGTGTGTATATATATATAAGTATGTATATATGTGTATATTTTATAACTTTTATATCATATTAAATTTGTATATAGTTAAGGTAATCCTGGACCCAGCCTTGCTCTATAGGGGAAGGAGGAAAACTGCATGCTGCTGGCAGTTCAACCCCCCACAGCACACCTGCCCTGCTAACACTCCCGTCATTGGAGAGGGGAATACATACTTGGGTGTTACCTAGATTACACATAGGCATTGGGACACCTGCATATAAGTGACCCAGCCCCCCATAGCAAGTGCATTTTAGGGACTCCTGATACTCTGCTGCTCTATGGCCCTTCCCCTCACACCTGAAACATGCTATGTGGGAACAGTGTGCAGACAGGTGCCCCTCCTTTCCACACTTGCTGCACTGTTTCAGTTGCTTATGATACATTATAAACCCCTGGTGTGGCCCCAGCTGGATCACAGACAGGAGATGCTGCACCCCAGTTAGTTTGCACTCATCCATTTTTAACGCTACTTATACCCATCATGCCCCCATCCACATATCATATTTATCCCGCACTTTCTGTACCCACATTACTCTTTGAACATGCAATTCCATCCACCTTTCCATGTCCTCTGCTTCTAATAACTCTACATAATTCATATTACAGTCACCTTCTCCCTTGACTTTCTCTTGCCATGAATTCTAGCTTTTTTATTTCTTCCCTCCTACTTTCTTTCACATATCTCTTCCAGAAATTTTCATGCCCTTCTGTGTTCCAGTAAATGAATTTTTAAATCTTTCAGTTTGGGAACGTGATCAAGCTGGTTAGGTGCTCCACCTGCACCTTCAATATCTGAAACAGTTTTATCTATTCTTTATTGTTCCTGTCTCCATCCTATTGCTGACTAATACTGTCTTTATCCACAGTCTCCAATCCTCTTTGACAGCTCTCATTTCATTTTCTGCGTCTTTTAGCCATACTACTCCCAGTGAGCTAGCATGTTGTTGTCCCTCTGATGTTCTTTGCTTCTCTCCTGACATCCCTTCCTCTGCTGTGTTCACTCCTTCTTCCACTCTCCATTCCTGTCTTCCTTCTGACATTGTCATTCCTGCTATCACCATTATCATTGTTGTGGTTATCATCACTTCTGCTATTGCTCCCACCTTCTCTTTCACCAACTTCTGTTCCTTCCCTTTCACCAGCTTCTCCACCTTTGTGCAGGCTCCATCTGTCTCTGGCCATTCTTTTCCACTTTTCATTTGCCTTTCCACCTCATGGTTTCTTGCCACCACTGCCATTGTTTTGAGCTTTGGGTATCTCTCCTCTACTCCTTATACCACAATGCTCAGTTGATCCCCTTCTTTGCCTTTGAGGTATTGATCAGGTTTTTAGTGCTGATGGGAGCCTACCACAAGGATAGGTTAGTGGCGCCCCTCTGAATAAGACATATGGAAGTACCCATTAAGCACAGTTCTCACTGATGATTCTTTTTCAGGTCATGGTGAGATACAACACTGCATACCCAGACTCTTTCTGTCAGCTCCTATTTCAGCCTGGCACACATGATTAGTGTGACTCTGCCCTCTGCAAGATGAAGCCATATTAGGTTGACTTGTGCTTCATCTGCACATAACTTTTTGTAGCATCCCAGAACTTGTGACCGTAACATGCTCCAATCATGAATTGGGGAGTAATTAGCACATGGATCCTTTGTGGAGGTATCTGGAGAATACACATATACTGTGCAGTGCTTAGCTGTGGGGTCACCATAGAGAGTGGTGTGAGAGAGAGAAGGAGCCACCAGGCTCCAAAGCTCTGGGGCTAATCAAAGGCTCAGCGGCCCCAGGTCCGCAGCCCCATGGAGCCTGGCAGGAATTTCCCTTACCCAGGTGTGTCGGGCAGGGAGGGGCAGAGAACTCCCATGCCGGTATAAAGAAGAGCCTGGGACAGGAAAGTTGGAGGAGCACAGAACCGGAAACAGGAGGAGGAGGAGGAGGAGGTGGAGCGAGCCAGCACATGCTGCAGGGAACTCTGAAAGTGACGTGGAGTGCTGGTAGGAGACTCTGGCAGAGAGCAAAAACCCCAGCAGGGGTTTACAGCCCAGTCTACTTGCCCCTGCGGGGAGTAGAACTGTTTGTTTACATGCCGGGAGCTGGGTACTGTAATAACCATAATAGAGGGGCACTATTGACTTTGGTGTACCGTAATGCATGTAATAGTGGTACAAACCAATAAGATGGACTCAAGCTGCTAAAAGAAATCATGGTGATATCCACAAGAGGCTCTCAGAGAAAGAGAGAGAGCTAACAAAGAGGGACTGATCACACGAAGGTCAGTTTTGGTTTAGACAGTGGCTGCTAACAGCAGGAGCAGTGACACAGGCCAGGAGAGTCTTCTCTGTTTTCTTGTTTTCTTTTTGATCTTTTGTTGATTGTTTGAGTGGAACAGAGGACATATGGCCGGACCAACTGGCTGGCCAGCACCCGGTGGAACGGGTGAGGGTGTAGGGGTGACGGAGCCCCCAGGAATGCGGGACCCTGTGGGACGTAGGTGAGACTACTAATTGGACTACACGTGCAGGTACATGAACCAACTCCGTTAAAGTCAAGTCATGGCAGGCGAAACTTGGGCGTGTAGATCATCAGTTAGAACTAATAACACCCTAGTCAAGCAGCAGACGGCGCCCTACAGGTCTACAAGGGACGGCGATACTTGACAGGTGGGGCCACATTAATCATATACACCAGACTGAGAGAGGGCGAGAGAGAAGGATTCTGGGTTTGTAATGTCATGGCTTACTATGACTTGAAATGCTGCTGACTCTGGGGCCCAATCTGGTGAACTATGTGGCAAATACGGAGCCTTTTGGCTTTGGATTAAACCACATGTAGTTTACTTGGCAGAGGAAATACCATGGTGATCTCGGCTTTTTGGATAAGATTAAGCAAGGCTGGGGGCATCTGAACCCCAAGGTCAGGCTGGGGCTGCATGTAGGCTGCCTGCCTGGATCTGAGGAGCATCTGAAGCCCCATACTGATGGGTCTGGGAGGGAGGACACTTTCCTCATGGTAGAACCACACAGACTTGACAGTTGAGCCCTGCTCAATCAAGTTTTGGAGCTTGACTATTGGGCTTTACCCAATTGAATCTGGAACTGATTGGCCCTTGAAATGAAATATAAATAATTTATATTAGATTGCCAAAGCAATGCTCAAAATTATATTTATGAAACACCTGTGTTAACTTGCAGCAGTTTTGAAAAAAAGGGAAACATATCATTTCTGGATGAATTAAGCCTATGGTTACTATATGTAAATTGCTACAGCCATGCTTAATTTTAGGGCTACTGTTGTCAAATTTGCTCCTCACTTCCATGTGCTCAGGGAGAGGAGAGTCTGACAGTAAAGTGAAGGGGAAGGTTCTGCCAGGGAAAAAGTTGGGGGAGAACTAGAGAGCAAAGGGCTACCTGGCCCCCCCAGATTTCTTTTGCCTGCTGTAGCAGTAGGAGGGGGACTGTGCCAGGGCACTGTGTGTGCCTGCCACTTTAAGGCCCTGGAGCTGGCAGCTGCCAGGTGCCTAATGACGGCAGCCATTTTAGGTTCAGGGCTGCCCATAAAGACAAGGCAGTTTGGCTGCTGGAGGCCAGACAACAACACTGCCTGGCCAGAGGGCTGCTGAGTTTCATCTGGAGGTAAGGGAGGAGCTGTAGGGGATGGTAGGAGGCTCCTGGT